GAAGTGAGTGAAACGTTAATGTGTACAGTAAAGCTAGCCATTGTTTTTTTCATGTGGATGTACTTACATACATGCTTTTATGCACACTTTATCCCCTCTGTAAATTCATTTGAAAACCAACTTGTAGATCTATTAAAAAATTAGATAGGTTTATCTAAAAGTAATCTTTTGTACTTAAAAAATTAGGAGATTCCTACAAATCATGTAAATTACATTTAACGTTATTTTTTTTGTAAGGTTACATGCTAAATATTAATTTTTTTAAATGTAACATATTAAAATAATGGCACAGTCAAATGAGCTGCCATTTTTATGGGTATTTCTTATACTTTTTTAATATACGTTTTCCGTTTTAATAGTATCTGTCAAATAAATCTACGTGTGATAAACGTCCTAAAGGGACATTCACTGGCACGTAATACTACTATACCTTATTCAAAAAAACTATACTGTCGAATGGCGTTTCTTAATTTTCTGTATACAATTATTCTTTGGGTATTAAATATGGACAAGGAATATGTGTGGGATCGTATGTGATAGATGTGAACGTGGCGTGACGGATGCAATCAGCGTAGACAGTAGAAAGTTGTTTTGAAATCACTGGAAGATTCGATGAAAGTGTACAGTCTTGTACTGGCTAGCCTATATATTTTTCTATTGTATTGTGGAGTAATAAACTATTAATAGCCATTAACTCATAAAAAATAATTAAAATAATACCTTATCAACTTACGTATACTCATTCCCATAATAATTGCACCATCTTCGTACACAACCTTGCTTCATAGAAGGTATTCTTACACTCAAGATTATATTGTTCGTCATATAATTTTATGAAAGTATAACTTTCTACTAAGGTCACCAAGCACCCACTGTTAACTGGTTTTCTTCGACTGTAAGGTTGTTTTTAAAAAATTTTTTTATAAAAATAGATCACGTAAGGTCTTGCCTTGTGTTTTCAAAGTTTTTCTGTAAAATCATACCAGCAATATCCTAATAGTTGAATTCTCTTCTTCCTAGTTTTTTTTATATTCTGATTCTTTTAGAATAGGGAAAGACTGGGTACGGTTGTCCCAAAGGACGGTTGTGACAGTGATTATACTGGCAAAACTGTAAGAGAGAACCACCAAATACAAAAAGGGGAAAGAGTGGAGTGCCGGACCACTTGAGTTCCACAGTGTAGCATTAGCTGTTGTGTGATATTAACGACAGTAGAGGTCTACATTACTTTTGGGGAGTGAAATTTAAGTATTTTCTTTAAACTTTTTTTTCGATTTTGGCTGTATATGTACAGATCGAGTAATGAGTATTTTTCATCGTTATAGGATACACATTAGTGCATAAAAGGCAGTAGTTACTTTTCATGTAAGCTATGTTGTGTTTACATGGTAAATTTTTTTTTCAAATAAGTGTGGTGGGTATGGTTGTGACATACTGTATGGATACGGTTGTGACACAAGTAAAATTAGTTTTTTTATTTTCAGATGCCTTGTAAGCGTTCCAGGAGAATGGAAAGAGGTACGTGTAATTTTTTAAAAGCATACAATGATACAAAGCAGGATATTTCTGTACGAAAAGTTGCAGAAATGCACCAAGTAAATCACATGACATCATTGCGATACGTTCGTAAACGTGATGCAGCGAATGCCAACGGCAATAACGGAAGTAGCATCAGTATAGGTTGCGTTGTTTACAACAAAGTCTTTTCTAAGGAGCAAGTATAGCTGTTGTCGAAATACCTACTACGTTGCGCGGATATATACTTTGGGTGTATAATATCTCTGTAATAATATATTATACTATTCAAAAGTAGATATAAGACATAAAGTGTTCTAAATTTGATGCCTTTAGTTAAAAATTAAAGTTAAATTTTCCAAAAAGAAGGTGCTGTTATATTATATTCAACATAAGATACAATAAAAGTGATTTAAAATGTTTTCAATGTATTTTTTTAACCTGTCACAATCGTCCCCAGGCATTGCCACAACCACCCCTAGGGTGTGGTTGGTTTTGACATATTTTTTTTTTCTAACAGCTTTCACGTGTAAGCGGCTGTATCTGCAGTTATAATTTTTGTACACACATGTAGAGGAGTCTTCGATTGATCATGCCTAGCAATTTCCATTCTACTGAGTGTCATACTTTAAAAGTTACGGGCTTTCAAGTAAAAATTGGCACAACCGTACCTAGTCTCCCTAGTTAAACTATTTGTCACATCTAAAGCGGATCAAAAAGTCTTTTTGCAGTCACGTTTTTCCAAAGTTAATAGGATGCAATACTAGCTTAACACATTGATACATTATTTTCTTAAAAAATTAAATAATAATATTATGTTTAGTATATACATATTTACACCTACCTATCCATTAATGTCCATGACGAGTGTTTTATCATTCTGTCTATGTATGATTTTCACTATATGACTAAGTTTATTTTCGTACTTGAGAATTCTACGTATACAAAAAAGGTTTAGACTTCTTTTATTTAAATTTAAATCTTTTGTAACACAATTTCTCTTATTTTGTTTCCTGCAAATGGATAAAAATCTTTTCCAACTATTTAGACAGCACTATAATACTAGCTTTTTAAGATAAGTATTAAACCAAGAAATCATTTAACTGAAATCCACAGTAATAACAATAATTTCTTAAAGATTTGGCTAGTTTTATTTTCATGGGATCCCCAAATTCTACATAATGTTGCTCTTTGTACCAAGTTTTATATCAATTAAAGTTATTGTTATTATTATTAATTATTATTTTAATCGTATCAAAAAAATTGGGAATAATAAAAAAAATAAAAAATAAATTCATTATTTATTATTAAAAACGCAATGAGCTTACTCCAAATATTCCGCAATAAAAGTTTTGCTTTATTTTTAGTTTCCAAATATTAAAGTTACGTTTATTTTCTTGTTTTTTAAGAAAATACGAAACTTGTATATCCTAATGTTATTTAAATAGAATGTTATTCAATACATTAAATCAATACCTATTAGTAAATAATTGTATTTTATCTTCAGTTGATAGTAGGGGCTTGGCGCACGAAGCGCGCAGGATGCCGAAGCTCTTTTCGTATGTATCTGAACACATACATACATACGTAAGAAATTTCACACAAGTAGTAATTAGTATATAATTTAAAATGAAGATATCTCTTCAATTCTTATCAAAAATCAAGATTATTACTTATTATATAACATTATATAACATTTTATCTTATTTACTCCCTTACGCGAGATTTTACCAACGCATTTATTTCATTATTATACACACTTAAATACTCATAATTTGTAAGGACCTGGTAGCCACTTTCTTGTTCTGTGACATATTTTCCAATGAATGCCATTTGGTACATGAAGGTTCTGGCCATAAAATGGCCGTCCCGACACCGTACCACAAAACTCTTGGACACTACTTACTTCGTCCTTACTCACTAGATTCTTATTTTCAAGGAAGTCTGCTACAGGTTTTTAGCTCAGGAACGTTGAACACTAATAAAAGTAAACTTATAAGAAAGATAAAAGGGGACTTACTTAATATCAACACAAATTACTTTGATAGACCTTATGGCATATTGACGTCTTTTATTCAGTCTTCTACATGCTCTTAACAGTCCTACTCTCTTTTACTAATATTCGCTCACTGTTCTTACAGTAGATATTTTTATCTAAGTATATGATCCAGTCATCCTTACTATCAAACTCCTCCTTGGCTCAACTGTTGGAGGCCCACACCTGCATCATATATACACACATTATATAATCCCGCATGCACACCTCCTTTCAATTATTATCCCTGGATTCGTTTCCCTAGTAGCAAAAGTTCCGACGTCATGACTTGGCCCTCATGGCTAATCACGTACTACCAACCCTGCATACATCCACATACAAATTCTCTTGATTGCTTGAATGGTCCTCTTACACTTTCATCCCCATATTAAATTTAAATACACTTGTAACTCTAGTCGCAGTACACTTACCTTTTCACAATCTTTATTATCACACTGTGCTACGTAGAACTCGTCCTGATTTTGGCGATGCTCTAGCTACACGGCCTGACTTATAGCTTAGCTACATGGCGATCTTTTTAGCTGATGCTACTTCCTTTTCGAGCTGACCTTTTAACTCATCTATAGAATTAAATTTTATTCTCTTCCTTTATACTATTCTTTATCTTTTTATAAATCACTAACTTACCCTCTGCTGCAGATTGTCTAATCTTTCACTTTATCTCTCCTTTTCTCCTAAACTCTGCACTATATCTTACTATGACCTACTATTCCGCTGGCTGGTGGAATACTTTTGCTGCTACTTTATGCAGTATATGCCTGTATAGATGTACATGCCCCTTTCTTTGTATCAGAAATCTTCAACGCTCTGTGTAATCAGCAAATAATTAAATAATTAAGAATAAATTTCTGACACGATGCCCCAACATCAATTTCTCTAGATTGCTCTGAGATATGCCACGAGCTTCTGCGTTTTTTACTATGTCATACATTTACTATCCAGATATGCTTCATAGGCATCTTACTCCTTTTAGTATCTGCCATCTTTCATGCTACTCTTGGCTCGTTGTTCTTGGCACCAAAACACATTCAATAGTATGTTGTTAATATACATGAAAACAAAAAATGTGCTATTCTAAGATTCAGTAGCAGTTGATGACTTCTTCGAAAGTATCGGTGTATGATGACGTAATAGCATTAGTTACCATGTCACAATATCTTTTGTATGAAGATACAGAAAATAGTATGCGACAAAAATTTAGGAAACATTATCATATAATAATAAGCGTTATGTGTCAAAAAAAGTATTGTATGATATAAATGACTTCGTACATAAAGAACAAAAGAATTTTTAGGCAAGTGTATGATTTTTCTACGAAAACAACATAATAACCTACAAATATTAATACTATTAATAAAAATTTCTTGTTTCTTTTTACAAATCAGTATAAAAAATGTTTAAAGCCTTATGAATACGTTTTTTTTTTCAGATTCGTCAAGAACTTGATAACTCATTTGTTAAGCGGACTTTATTTAACATAGGAATACGATCGAAAGAATCTGATTTAAAAAAATGTATTATTCACAGAAATTCTATATGGGATAAGACTCTGTTTAAGAAAATTCAAGAGGAAATGGGTGGAAATCTACGACTTATGATTGTTGGTTCTGCTCCACTTGCGGGGAATGTTATGACTTTTGCTAGATGCGTATTAGGTTGCCTTATTCTCGAAGGATACGGACAAACTGAATGTTGTGCTCCAATCACCTTAACTCTCCAGGTAACAAAGTTTTACATCTGAAACTTATACAGCAACAAAAAAAATACTGATTCGGTGCCTTGAAAAATTTTCAGATTTAGAAGAAAAGTTTTTAGCTTTTATCAAAAATTTTATATCAATATTTTAACAAATAGTGAAAATGTCATTACTGCACACATGGATAATTTAAACTTATCCTTACATATGTATGACGAAGTTGCAGCGTGAAGAACACACACACGTGCCTCTGTCTGTAGTTTATTATTAAGCTGTAAGTATTAGTGCATGCCCTTGTGTGTGGTAGGCGCGAGTAGGTGTTGTCCCTCAGGCTGTGAGTCGTGCGTACGCGTTTAATGTGCAGCGCTGACGTAACTCAATCATGAGAGGTGTGGCTTATAGGCCAGTGCCAGGTGGGTTGCTCGTGGCAGTACCTACACTTTTGAGTAAGTGGAACGGTCCCAAACGTGTGGACTAGACCAGTGGAGATGTTGGTACGATTTATCTGGTAAAATTATTATGCCAGTAAGAGTTAAGGGGCAATTTTATGATTACAAGTGGACGCTGGTACATAATTAGCCAACCACCAATCGTTGATCAGCGGTAGGCAATCAATCAAAAGTTGTTGGTAGAGACTCCTACGAGCTATTGAGCAGGAAAGAGAAGCTGGGTCAGTCAGTAGTGTTTGAGTCTCTCTTTTTGTGTGGCTCTGGATTCTCTGCAGTTAACCAAATTGAAAGATTCTGTGAGATTTTGAAAGCTCTTTGTGTGACTCGTGACTTTGGTTTGTTCCTGTAAGTCTAGTTGATCAGAAAAAATGTTACTGTATCATAGACCATCGATCAGAGCTAGAGACGACATCCAGGACAAGAAATTCCAAGAAAACAGAAGGTCACAAAAACTTAGGTAATGATGGTTCGTCTTATACTACGTTGGCTATTGTGTCCGCAACGTGCACGAGACAGTTAGGGCGATGCTTGTTCATACCCCTCACATTGAGTTAGTGACTTCCTTATGCTGAGTGTTAGTGGCTAGCAATATTTTGGGTCATAAGGTGCACTTTACGACCCCTTCGAGCAAACCAAGTAGTAACTATGGGTTCGTGGTAAGTAGCTCTAAAGTTTGCGAGTAGTTGCTTCTCAGAGGCATTGCAGTGGCTTCTTATGGACATTATAGTGGTTCTTTAAAGTTGAGCCAGTAGCATTAGTAGTGGAGAAAACTCTGACTGTGTGGAAGACTTTGACCAATGGCTCTACAGTACGGTGGTAGTACAAGAGAGGCTGAAGTGGCATCTCTGTCATGTCATAATTCATATTAGGCAACTAAACATTAACATTGCATCAAAATAGCCCTTTAGAAAAAAAGTAAGTTTAATAATTACCTATGCTTAATTGCCTAAAAATACAGTTTACTACAAAATAATCCCCATAAAATATCTCAACGTGGACTACAGGCTGAAACAATGTTGATTTGAGAGTCTAGTTAACGATGAATTAGTGCTTTACTAATGCTGCATCATCGATGTATCATTGTAAATCCACGAATAAGATTAGTCTGAAGTTCTATCGTTGATTAAACATTAATTTTTCATGTATTCAGCAGCTTTTCGAAATGAAATGATTTTTTTAACCTAAATAACTTATACGCAAGTAAGTTAGTCAAAACTTTTTTAACCAAACATCTTTTTTTTTTACTATGTTATAGGTTTTCCTTATAAAATTACACGTGGCATAAGTAAACACTCAGTCAATTATTAAAGTTTATAGTTTACAATTGTGTAACTTACAAAATTATTAGTCAATACTGAACCACACTTAACTGCAAACAGCTTAAGGGTTTGTATTATTAAATATTTTTTCTGTGCATGTTTGAACATGAAACTAATACCAGTGATAAGGTTAATGTTGGATTCTATTTATGTATTTGTAGGGTTTTGTTCAAGAAATTTAAATAATGAGCTAATGGAACTTTTACTGTATACAAATATTAATGCTACATTATGTGTATCTCATTTGCTCCAGCCAAGTGAATGAGATAACAGCATAGCACGCTGGAGGTATAGCGTAGTATTTCGCCATCAGAAGTATTTTTATTTATTTATTTAATTATTTTATTTTATTTTTTTAATACTATTGTTATTATACTTTAAAACAAAATTTATAATTTTCAATGATTTTTTCATTAAATAACTAGCCATATTGTCTTACAGTTGTAAGCATTGAGCTTTGACTTGATTCCTACCATACGCTTATATATGTAATGTGAAATGTCGGAAATTGTGTACTTTAGGACAAGTGGAGAGTGTGAACATTAAATAATTAAATGATAAAAATACGACTATACTGTTAGTATGTAAACATACATGTATTTGAATGAATATTTTTAGAAATCTCAAAAATGCAGTAATATCAACCAATTTAAACCTTATTTTTAATTTTAATTCAACAAGATATTCTCATAAAAATAAGATCGTACAGAATATTCAGTATAAAGTGAACTTATACTTAAATATGCCGTTAAATTGTTTGTTATTTAACTGGTGTGCAAAACTGCTAGAACACTTCAATGACTACTATTTGTTTAAATTTACTTGCTTATGTTTTATACATTACTTGGATTAAAATAATACTCTAGAGAGTGCGATACATTCATACATTAATATAATTATACTTCAAAGGAGACTCTTACTATATAATTTATTCAAAGGTTGTTATCTGCAGAGACTAAATGTTCTACTCTAACCTAACATAACATTACTTAAAACTGAATCTTCTCGAACATTCGCATGTAAGTTTGTGTATATACCGTGCTCTGGGTAGCTAAGTCAGCCCGAGTAAGCGACGCAGCTGAGCTGAACGCTTCACTGAGTCAGCAAATGCCCATTTACCAATCGATTATGTCTAAATGTAGTTTTCAGCTTAGACTTTTAAGTATTTCGTTTATCCTTTCTAAAAATTTGCTTTCAACGTAGGCTGAGTTTAGCTCACGATGAAAACAGCCCGTCCATTAACATTTTTAGTAGCAGGGAGCGTAGTTCCTTGGAACAAAAAAGTGGGGCAGTTTTGGAGTTGGAGGCGCAAGAATTCCTGTATTGCCAGAGTCAGTGCTGTGCATGTGAGTGTCGATTAAGCATAAGAGTTTTGAGCTTTCATTAATTTTTTTTTAGCTGCAAGTACAAGCATGCTTACCCATGTCTAGGATTCGCTAAGGCAGACAGGTTTGTCACCTAGTGTTTTCGCACACACCACTGCACAAAGCATAGGCATGTCACTAACGCTAGATTGATTGGGTATTCGCCACCAAGAGTTGTTCGGTAGAGTTTCTTGACCATACGAGAATATATTTCGGCTTTGATAGAACAACATTACGTGATAAGCTATAGAAAATTCTTTAGGCTAGTTATGCGCTTACTGGAATAAGTTCCAGCAGAATCACATTTGCAATGTGGCAATATGTATTGGAGATACAGTAGAAATTGCTTACTTCAAATCAGATTTCTATGACCTTTCGGAAGAAGGTTACTTAAAATCAGCTTTGGGTAAGTCTACAGAGCTACAAAAACTACCTCTAGATCTAGTGCTGCAATCTTCTTCAATCGCTGTTTTTGTAGTACAGAGAACTTTGCCTGCAAGACCATTGCCATCATTTTTTGGCAACTAATTTTTTTACCAGAAACTATAACAAAAGGCAAACGTTTGGTTTAAGCCAACTATGTAAAAAATTATGAGAAGCACAAAAAAAATAAAAAAAGTTTTGAAATAACGTGTTATGCTATTCGCCAAACACCTGTTTTATCTCCAATATATATTACAAAACCATATATAATCTACTTGTCAATGTATCAATAAATTTCAATTCTTCTTTATCTTTCATCAAGTCACGTACTAAGCTACATTTTAAATTGGATGAATAATACTATATCGCTTTGACTTTGTGAACCTGCGTCTACAACAAAAGTTGAAAACGCCAACACATTCCAGCATTGATTCACTATGTAAAAAATAATGACAGTTGCATAAAAACTGACTTTGAGCAAACGTTGAGAGCACTCACTTCATAAAAATTCACTTTAGATAAATACAGCAAGGGTCAGTACTTTCATCAAATCTTAACTTGCAAAAAAAATTGTGAATGAATTAAGTATTTTTTTTAAAGCTATGGTCGATTTTAGTTGTTACTTCTTATAATCACGCATGTATAAAAAAGCTGTATTCTCAAACATTGGATACTTCAGCCACGCATCATGAATGGGACAATGAGTGTATTGCTAGGAAAAATATAAAGAACTGTACAATAAAAAAATCCTCAAGGTTGGTGTTTTAAGTGAGCCGCGGTTAGTTTTAGCTTTATACCACCCTTGATGGCGTTAACTCTAAAAGTAACAGCACATACAGAATCTTAGAAATAAAATGTCCAGTGTCATGTAAAAATATCTTTGCTGTTCATTCTAAGATACAGGCTTCTATTGTAAAGTATGTACAGTCTAAAAATGGTCAACCAAAATTGAAAAAAAGTGTTTATTCATTTACTAATTAGCAGTTTATTACACTCTTATACTAATACAACTGTTTGTTGGTGGTTGCGATACGTGTGACTTATTTTTGTACTCACCAATAAAAAATGTATGTTGTCGCATTACAGTTACTTGAGATCATTCATTTATATTCTCTGTGATTTGTAAGTGCCAACAACTTTATTTTATGTATTATTTATCAAAGTTGAGAGAAGATTGACCAAGAAAAAATAATGTAAAAGTTTGACTTTAGATACTGAGATAGAAAAAAATCAATCGTAGTCTTCCCATAATTAAAGAGTCTTCTGGCTTTTCATTACAGAATTACTTATTTTAGATTTTTTTGTTAGGTCTTACTGGCATAATTTTCTTTGCTTCATAAAGTATGTATGTCTGTAATAAATATAAAATAAAATAATTAAAACAAAAAAACTGTTGAGGGCAAGTGCGAAAAAATATCTTAGCCATGCAGAAGCATTAATTGTAAACATGGGATTAATAAATTTTGTTT